AATAAAATGGTACATAAATAATTGATATGATGTTCCATTGACAATTTTGAATCAAAATACACTCCCAGATTTTTTGCTTTATTAGTAAAATACAGTTTTTCATTTTCCGTACAAATATGATCAATGTCTGTGGGGATATGGCTTTTCTTTGGGTTACATAAAAGAATTTCAGTTTTATTTTTATTAAGCTGGAGCTTATTATCAACCATCCACTTTTTGATGTCATCAATTTAATTTTGAAGACATTGCCAAGATAAGCCGGCTAAGCCGGTGACGTCACACAAGGGAAAATTTAAATGTACAGTTTCCAAGAACACTCAAACTTTGAAAGTTAAATAGGGGCTAATGTCCCCTCTCTGACACCAGAAGACTCCTACCTCCTTCAATCGCAAATATCTCGACATCTTTTCGAAATAGATGGGCATTTTTATCATCAAAAGCAAGATAAATGAACAAGCTTTAGGATGGTGCAAATAATTCTAGATGATTGATGCCCCCAAAACTTACGAGCACATGGTTCCACCGCGTCGTGGCACATTGTTACACTGTGGTCAGCGAGGCCCAAAACTCATACAGACCCCCCCCCCCACACACACACAGACCTACCTGAACACACACACACACACACCCACACACACACACCACCACCACCACCTTAAGGCAGTGTTACTGAAGGAAGTGTCTATAGTCCATTCCCAAAGGGGGGATATTAACATGTTCTTATGCACAGTAGAATTGTAAGTGGGCTGATTTATCAATGTCATGCTCATACTGTGCCGGAACAACATAGGGGGAACTGCTGCTTTTTCTTTCCTCATCCTTACTATCGTCATGTTTCCTCTACTTCTTTTGTAAGTTTGTTACTCTCTTGTGAACTGATATTTCCGAGGTGCCTTGATAGTCGAAGCAGACTTTGTGCTGTTGAGGCTAGAGAGGTGAGCAGAGTAAGCCTGATTCCGCGTTTGGACTTCTCTGTTGACATCCACCACTTTGGCGCTCATATGACCTTTCGCCCCTACCCCCTCCCAAATTTTTATTTTTTTTAAATTTTAAAACCCCCCCACCCCACAAGCGTTCATGTATGTGATGTACAAGTACTTGTTGCTTATCATTTGGCCTTCGAAAATACTTTTATTCTTTTCGTTATTTAGTATGGTAGGGTACGAAAGTCGCATTTACATAATACATACATTTAGGGGCCTACGTGTTGATAAGAACTGCAATAAAAATGACAGTCCCAAAAGTTATTATATGTTATTAGACTTAGATTTACATGTACAAGTAAAAGTATAAAAACATATCTATTTTATATTATAACAGACTGTTCGCGTACGGAACTAGATTTTGAAAGCAAGCATGGGCAAACATAGCAATTTTTCACCTCAGTCAGAGTCAGCCCAACTTGATTGACTTCTGTTCTGCTGAATAGTCATCGACTAGCCTACCGAGATTGCTGCCCATGGGAGAAGATTAAACACTTCATTTGATAAGCAAGGGGAAATAATTTCAGGACATTTGGCTCAATGGACAGGCTTATACAAAAATTAATGATCTTTGAGCTCCATGACCTTATTAAAAAAAGCGCCTCGTGAACTAGATGTGTATTCATATATTCATATAGTTTACTGATTAAGTTTACGCTAGATCTAAATGTTTTCCAAGGATTCAGGTCTTGTGTTCCATTTCCAGTCTCACTTACTTTTCATTTCATGAGTTACTTCCCATGTTTTTAAAGGCAAGGGGGGGGGGGGGAGACAAAGAGAGAGAGAGAGAGAGAGAGAGAGAGAGAGAGAGAGAGAGAGAGGAGGGAGGGAGGGGGGGGGGGGGGAGACAAAAAGCAAATTCCTATATGCCTGGTTGCATGTTTGTTCTGGTATGAGGGATTTTCTTAAGGGGGTGGGGGGTAGTTGGATCAAATATCCTTTCATGGTCGACTGGACACTCTTGTTGAAGGGGGGAAACAAAAACATGAAACATGTTGTGGAAGAAGTATGTGAACTGAAGTAACAGAGAATCTAAGCTGAACGAACGGCTGGAATTGAGACCAGTGGACCAGTCATAGAGTTACCCCCTATTGCCTAAAGTGTACATCTATGGGACCAGTCATTGAGTTACCCCCTGTTGCCTATAGTGTACATCTATGGGACCAGTCGGTCTATGGCGTGGACCAGTCATAGAGTTACCCCCTATTGCCTAAAGTGTACATCTATGGGACCAGTCATAGAGTTACCCCCTGTTGCCTATAGTGTACATCTATGGGACCAGTCGGTCTATGGTGTGGACTATGGACTAGGCCTACTTGAGACAGTCAGTCGATGGTGTGGATGGACTGGTCTACATTGGCTAGGCCTACTTCAGACAGTAAGAGAAATACATAATATAATAGAAGCTGGAGGTATAACTCTGGATTATTTGTTCGTTAGCACTATAAAAGTAAAACCCGCACATATTATCTACTGGCCTGTTCGAAATATAAATCGAGAGATAGAATAGATCTATACAGAGAAAACACGGACACATTTGAACAGTAGGGTGAGTGTGGAACCATTAAGTTTCCTGTAGTTGTTTAAGATAAATTGAAAGCATTTGAAAATGAAAAAGTGAAAATAAAACCATTTATATAAAAACGTAGCGTTTCAAATCAAATTAAATGCGAGAAAATAGATGATCTTCCACCTTTTAATTTTAGTTTCAAAGCGCCGGAAAATCTGGCAAGTATTTTTCCCCAGGTTCTCGAACGGTTACGAGGGAACTCTCCATTTCCTCGTGAACTTGAAGACGCCATATTGGTAATTTTGCCTCCGTTTCTGAAGATTATTCGACAGAGAAACCCATCCTCCAAACAAAAGATCAGGTACAACAAGACAAGATAGATTGTGTTTTGATGCCTCTGCTGCTTTTAAAACTCAGAATGGATGTTATTATTTCAACAGTGAATGAATCGTGTTCTATTCTTTCTTTGGTGCTTTTCCAAAACCCAGAGAGGTATTCCCTGAAATGCTTGTCAATGTCGGCTGACTAACAGCGGTGTTTACTTTTCTTCGTTTTAGATTTTGTTTTGTTGTCTTTTTGTTGGCTGGGTCTTCTCTTCTTTTCTGTGACTGTGATATAATTATTGCGATTTTTTCTAAAAGGTTGTAGAAGACTAAATCTAATCTAGAGTAGGCCCGCATCACCGCGCTACTGTTTTGGTGCGCAACCCCCGGTCTCCTGCTTTGTTTTGGATAAGAACAGCGAAAACGAGGTCATTTTCTGTGAGCATGCGCAGAATGCAGCTTATTTCACTTTCGTTTTGGAGGTTCCTGTCAACACACGTGATTCTACGGTGTCGGAAAGTTTTGCCCCTTCATATTAATGGTTTTCGTAACCGGTATCGATCAATTTACTAAGCGCTTGAGTAGTCGATTATTTAGCACATCTAGCTAATCTAGCTCTAATGTATCGTAGAATGTATACTAGAATCGATAAATACTATCGCAGGCTGCTTCTTAATGCCCAGGAACGTGTTAGATAGGGTTGCGCACTGAAGAGGACCAAATTTGGGCAGTCCGTTTCATGCGCAATATCGGCTTTTTTGCTATTTGGCATTGATAGTGTGGCTTCTAGGCCCTTTGTTTGTTTTACTTATTAAGTTATTTCTCTATGACCTGCATTGTGCACTGAAACAGACTGTTTTCCTTCCATTTGGATGCATTATATTGCCATTGGAAGATGATAAGTTAATGTATTCATGTCAAAATTAATTAATATGGAAATATAATCTCCAAAATGTTCAATTTCTTCTTTTCATGTCTTTTTCTTCTTCTTTTTTGCCCTTTTCCTTAAAGAATACTAGTCTAGGTATAGTCTAATTCTTGTTTTCTTCTTTCACTTCCTTGTGTCCACAGCACCTTTCTTTTTCAATTTCTTCTTTTCACGTCTTTTTCTTCTTCTTTTTTGTCCTTTTCCTTCTAAAATACTAGTCTAGGTATAGTCTTATTCTTGTTTTCTTCTTTCCCCTTCTTGTGTCCACAGCACCTTTCTTTTTATCCATTATCAAAACACATACACAAGGTGTAAGGAAATCTCCTGTCAGGGGGCGCACAGCTCCCAAAAAGAACACGCCTAATTGACCTTGGCCTTCCATTATGGTCAGTACAGGAACTTCTTGCAAGGAAAAGAAGACAAAGCAAGGATAGAGAAAGATGAAAACTGTCAGAAAAGAGCTAGATCTAGATCTAGAGCTGTAAACATGGTACTATTGCGCACCAAACAAGACGATATGTTGCACCAAACCAGAAACCTTGCGCACCAAACCAGACACACGTTACCAAACCAACACCACCACAACATATAGAAATTTTAAACTGCTGTTACAGTAATGCGCTACACCGTATAGAGAGGAAGTTTTTCTAACTTCTGGTGAAAAAATCATGAAGATCGACCTGTAACTTCCAGAGATATCCACAAAAGATCGCTTACTGTATATCGCACCACAGGATGTACTCTAGATCTAGATCTAGATCTAGATCTATATATCTAGATCTTTTATTCTAGATCTAGCCTACAAGGCGTAACAAGGTATGAAGTTTTATGCAATGGCAATATCATCAATATAGAGTTGCTGAGAGTAAAGCGAGAACGGATCCGAAGCGAGAAACATCTACTAAGAAGAAAAAACTCAGGCTTTCTCATGATGCCTGTTGAAGTTCTGACTGACTAGATCTATGTAGATTCTAGATCTAGATTTCTAGATCTTTGTCATATTGTTTACTTTCTTTGTTTCATTTTTTATTTCTGCATTATAATGATTGCAATGTTTTCTCCACTCTTTGTTCTTCCTAGTGTCCTGTGGCAGTATGTCGAGCACGGCCAAGAGGTCTGGCCGGTCTGTCAAGGTAAAGCTGCAGCAAGATGACACTGAGGACACACAGACAGGTTCAGGTAGTTCATTAAATGCCTTACTTCCTTTCTCTGCAATGTTAAAGAATGTTTTATATTTAGCTTTGAAAATGGTGTGCTGAATTCCCCCTAACATAGCTTTTGATTTGATACTTTGGCGTGTGGTGGAAGTTTTAGGAGAGAAAGTAAAGCAATGTCACTAGTTGACTTTTGGTCTAAAATATCAACTCTTTTTAACACATGAAGCTACAGCAAGCACCAAGCACACCTCTATGATTGGCCCAAATATAGATGAAGTATTTCCGCCATCTGTTTTTGTCGTCTTCCAGGGTTTCCCTCAAGACTCTAGGGTTTCCCTCGCCGGTAACTGTTGACTACATCTCGACATGTTTGGGGTTTTTTTGTTTTTTTAATTTGTGTTATAATTCTTTTAACAATCTCAGCAATTCTCGTTCCATAAATTTACCTTCTTCTCAAGTTGTGTACACACACACACAAGCGCGCGCGCACACACAGCCCAAGCAGTCGGCGATGAAACCTAGTGATGTAGTCCATCGCGAGCTAAGCGGCAAAGCGGGACCACCACGGCGAGATTTAGTCAACTGGCGAGGGAAACCCCGGAAGGCAACAAAAATAGATGGCGGAAATTATACGTCATCCTGTATTTGGGCCAATCACAGGGGTGTGCTAAGTTATCGCTGTAGCTTAACTCTTATCCTGCGTCTGTGCCCAGATGCGTATCTTATCAGCAACCGATTACGTCGGACTCGCCGGGCAGGCCGCCGAGGTCACTCAGTGTGTACTGTTGGTGTACAGCGCGCGCGCGCCGGGAAACGTGTGTTTTCGACATGAATACCGCGGGAGTGTGTTAACTGATGATGAAAATAACGCTCTATCCTTCATAGCATTCTATTTATAAAGTGTTACAAACACATGAATAACCCCCTCTCACAAGCTGATAAGACATTACGAGTAGTTACGCCCATTTGAATAACCTTTCTGGACGCTCTTGTTGTTACGAATGACCTGAGGTTCGAAAAGGGGTAATTTAGGTCAATTTCCGAATGTTTTACACTCAAATTGTTCTTTGTACCTGCACAAGGGTATTCAAAACTATTAAACAAGCTCATTTTTTATCAGGTAGTATCATTTCATACAAAATCAAGCTCATTTGAAATAGTTTGTATAGAAAAATGGAAGTCTTGTTTCCTGACTATCCTTTCGAGCTCCTCATGTCTAAGTGGGTCAATTTCTTCTATAATTTCATTGGACGAACATCTAGAGCTATCAACTTGGCATGTTTTGAATGAGACGTATGCCTCGATTACGAACCAACGCAGGTGGTTCTAGAAGAAGGCCACAAACGCACACAAACTTAAGCAGACTGACGCGCACACACTTGACCTGCGTGAATGGGGATCCGACTCGGGACCCGAATGACACGTAAGAGGATGCGCGCTGCGCGTGCGCTGAACCAGGAGCTACACTGACTCGGGACCAGAACGCAGGCGAGGTGCCGAAACAGGCTTATCGGGCTACATAAACCCGGCTCCCGCAGGATGAGGGTTAATGTCTTTTTAACTTAAACGAGGGAAGGAAGATGCAGAATAATGTATCATGTTCGTGGAGCATTCTCTCAATTGAGATGTATGAGACTTTCACTGTGAGTTACTGAAGACTGTGACCAAAAAGGCAGCACTGGATGTCCTTGTCTGTTCACTTCTTACGTTTTCTGCATTGATAATATAAGTTTGTGGAACTTGCTGAGAATTTCAGAGTTGTTCGCTCCTGTGAGACAAGTTAGATTTTTATTTTTTAAACTTTTTTGACCATTGGAGGAAGACCTTCAGTTTGGTTTGAATTCAGAAATGCTGAATTGATGCATTTGTTCCATGTTGAAGAAGTGATCGATCAATGAGATCCTGAAAGATCGTTCTCTAACAAGGAAGAAGACATTACTTTGTTTGAAGATTGAGATTGTAAATGAGCAATTGCCAAAACGTGAGACTCTCTTGAGACTCAGGGTGCAAAAAAATTTTTCTTACCAATTTGACTCTTTTCTGTCAGTCACAGATTGACATTTAGTGCTAATATTCCTAGAGTATCAGAGCAAGGAGATGTACGGTTTTGGAGATATGGGTCTATTGGTTTGGCAACTACTGTATTTCTTGTATGTAATAGTGATGACAAAAACAGATTTATCAGCAAGGCAAATAATGGACTTTAAATTCCATTTGTTTAGTAAACAAAGACTTTGTACACTATGAACTCCATTCATAATGGTAATATGAATGACCAGCTTTGTAACAATGACGCAGTGCACAGAACATGTCATCATTGTTATGTACAAGAAAGGATACACATTGGACATTATCATTGACAGCACATCACAATAGTGAAAGGCTGTACAAATACAGTTATCAAAGCCTCAGTACCAGAAAAACACTTGTGTAAAACAATTTTTAAACTAATATGAGGCAAAAGCACAAAATCAATGGAGCTGACTTGTACATAACAGTGATGACAAACATGATTTGTACATAACAATGATGACACAATGTACAGGAAAAGACAAAAGTCTTGCCTCCAGAGATAAAAGTGCACTTTAAGAATTAAAAAAAACCCAGGAGAGGTTTCTTTTGCTTTGAAACAGATACTAGGTTATATCAAAGACAGTGGACGATCACAATTATGTTGCTAATTATGACAAACAGTGCTCGTACATAACAGTGATGACAAAACATACTGGGAAAAGGTAAAATCATGCCTACAAAGAACAAATTTGCACTAAGAGATACACAGATCAATAAAGGCGTATTTTGCTTCTAAATGAATCTTGCATATGTATGAAATATATGTTGAAATCTTATTGATATTAGCAATTATGAAAAATATTACTTGTACATAACAATGATGACACAATGTATTGGAAAAAGGTATATCATACCAACAAAGAACAAATGTGTATTTTTGAGTTAGACAGATAAACAAGAACATGTTTGTTTATTTGTTTGAGTAAAGAGAGCACACATTACTTTAAAAATGTTTGCTCTTAGGACAATGTAATTTCTTGTACGTTAGTCAGTCTTGTACGGCTGCATGACGACACCCCAAACGTCATCACTGAGCACAAAAGCTAAGTCTATAACCACAGAAATGATCCATCTGTCGAAGTTTGTTCACACATCACACTCTTGTTCCAGGAATCCAGTGTAAACACCGCAATTTCACTAAAATATTCAACAGAGTAGCCTAAAAACACGCAAAACAGCCCAGTACGTCACATTCAACACAAAATTCTTGTGCGTCACCGGACGCTGAAGGCAATGACTACTTTCGTTTTTCTGTTTCCCCCGTTACTTCCGTTGTTCTGGGGACGCGGGTAAGGGGAAGTCACTCAAGAAAACAATTATATCCGGGCACTTTTGATGACCGGTTCAAAACAAAAGTGGGCGAAATTCGCAAATTGACGACAATAACGGCGAATGTTCAACAGCCGACCGAAATCGTAGATCTAGGAACCCGATGTTCCTTTCGCGCATCGCGGCTTTTGAAGTATTGAATAAACGACGATAGGCAAAAAGATTTAACCAGCTACGGTGATTCTACTGAAAAATAATGGTGTTTTCTGAAATACCTAGTCCGTGACGACACAACAGACGCACAAGTAATCCGAATTGTTCGTCTATTTGCAAACAAATAAACCGATTTCTTGAGCAAGTTAACCTTTCTCAATGACAAATAACATAGGATCAAAGCACACGTAAAAAAAACACACCCAAAAATACTAAATTTTGGACATTCTTGGAAGTTTGCATTGGTGTGCTCAAAATGACAGTCCAGGAATCACTAAAAAAACGAACATTTTTGGCACAAAATGTACAAACTCAAGATTGTAAAGCTGACATGGGGTCTGAAACTGCTAATGCAGGTTCTACATCCTATATTTGACATGTGTATACGTTTTGGAGGAATAAATACTAATGCATCACATTTTATGCACACTATTGTGAGATGTGTGTGTTTTTCCCCACGTTTTGGCAATGGCTGAAATAGATGAAATAAAGTAACGTTGCTAGTAAAGATGTTGATGATCTGTCATAGTGATTTTATGATGATAATTTAACCAAATTGACGGATATAATCCTCTGTGTGTTCATAGAGAAAAAGACACAATGTATTGATGTTCTTAATGCTCGCTCAAAAGGCACCTCACAGACTTGAATGTGGGAAGATAAAGCATACAAGTTTTGAAAGTTTGTCAGAAATTCTGAGAAATTCCCTGTCCTGGGGCACACCCCATTGTCTCTCTCTTGATCTCTAGAGTTGAGGCGACTGTTACATGTTTTTGCCCCACATCTGGTCTTATGGGCTTTCTTTTTTTAAACTTTGTAATGTTGTAAATGCTATCACACTTTCGTTGCATTTTTTGTAGTTGTACTTTTGAAAGCAATAAACCATTGTTTTTTTTTATTTGTGTGAATGTGTCTTAAAGGAATGCCAGTGGTTATGTTGGGAACTGCACTGAATTTTTGTTCCCCTGTTTTTTGTTGCTTATTTTCTCTTCTCAATTTTTTCTTGTCAGTCGAGTCCACGAAAAAGATGACAAGATCGTCGGTGTCTGCTGCGAGCGGCGCCCAGTCCCGTACAGCTGCTCAAGGCTCTGTGGGGAACCCCCCCAAAAGGGGAAGGCCGGCCGCAGCCAAAGAGAAAATCCTTCCCAAGAATGGTACCGGTCATGCGGAAAAGCTGGACTCAAAGGGTGACAATGTTAATTCCACTGGAAAGAGTAAAGTGACTCCGGGAAAGAAAGACACCTCAAGCAAGAAGTCTACTGCCAGCTCTCCTGCCACCTCTGCTGCTCTCAGGACGGACGTCAAAGCTAACGATGAGACATTAACTGTAGACATGCCATCACCCAAAGTGGCGGCAAAGGTTTCAAGGACAGGCACAATGCCAAACAAGAGTGGCAGTGGGAAGAAAGAAGTAAACACAGGAGTTGAGACGAGCAAAGCCTTGAGTGTGCCGAGCTCTGTGACCCCTGTGACCCCAGTCCGGCGCAGTGGGAGGGCCCCGGTGCCGTCCAGCAGGTTCAAGGACATGGAAGTACTGACCAGTTCACGGAAGAGGTCTGCGGCTGTGGAAAGTGAGTTGCTCCTGTACTCTGGTTCAGTTCTCATGTTGTGCTGGCTGTAGTCTATTTCCAGTTGATAGTCAGGAATACTCATTTTTCGTACGTCATTGTGACTTTTTGGGATGAAATTCAGTACATAATGGCTCCTTTTAAGTCTTGAGAGGCTCAGTCTGTGATTGTGAAAATTATTCGTTTTGGTTTCTGCTATTTTTCTATTGGAGAGATGCTGCTGAGAAACTTGTGATTGCTAGTGAGGGGAACCAGTCTCGTGGTACTGGATATTTTGGGGGATTGTTTATTACGTGTCACGGTGAACTTTTCGGGTTCTTTTTCTTACTCAAAAATACCCTTTTTGTGTTGATGTTCTACCATTTTGACCAAAAATATTTGTTGGTTTCAGAATGCTCTCAGGTCTGCTTGGGTAATAGTATCGATTTTGAAGCGCATAGAGCTTGCTGTTGACCAGGATTTGCGCTATACCTATATATATATATTTATATGCTATATAATCTATCTCTATTGTTGAAGGTCTCTGTTGTTGCATGTTACTGAAGCGATGAGAAGCGAACGGCGCCAAGCTGTTGTAAAAGTTGTAGAGAAACACTTTTTGCAGAGTCCCGTGATGACAATATCACTGCGCAAAATATGAGGGCATTTATGACTTGTATCATGTGCTCCTTTTTTTTCCTGAAAAAGTTGAGCTCGGCATATTTGTTCTGTGATAATTTGATGAGCTGAGGACTCTGTGAAAGTGATGCATTGAGAAAAACATGTTCTGATCTTGCTATTGTGGTCATTTAATCCACCACAACTTGTAGGATCTGCGCCGGATGTGGGCCGTAGGTAGACCACCGTACTTTCCGCCAGATATCCCTCTTTTCAGTCTGTGATTTTCCGCCGTTTTAACTTATATATATATATGTAATCTGTTTGTAATGTATTTTTAAGGAAGAATATGCCCAACAGCTTTATATAAATAGAGCTATTACAAGGTGCTTGAAATGTCTTATCCCGATTTTACATTGAGACATTAATCTTTTTCTGTCACCTTGAACAATTAATGATAAAGTTTTGCTAATTTTTGTTCCTTGCTAGAGTCAAGGTTTGACATTTCACTTGACGTTGTATCTTGTCCTCAGCCGGCGCAGACTCGGAGAAAGAAGCCAGCGCACCCCGAGCAAAAATCCGTAAAACAAAGTAAGAGCTCTTGTACTTAACATGTTATATTTGAAGCTTAACAAGTTATATTTTAAGCTTTTTTTTTTTTTTTTGGATGTGTGTTTTATTCCCCATAACCCTGTGATGACAATCACTGCGCAAATATGACGGGTGTGCACGGCTCACTGTCTCCGACTGTACGGTTGTTGAGATTGTGACGTGTAGATCTGTGTGACTAAACAGGTTCTGAGGGTTATTTATTGATGCAGCAGCCTCTGTTGAGGTCCCCTCAGTTGGAAGGTTTGGGGGGGGGGGGGGGGGGGAGGAGTGTTCTGAGCTGTGTCTTTATCTGCATCAATTCTACAAATTTCTGATGTGCAGGTTGTAATGTATGATGGGCTTTGTTTTTGGTCCTGTAGTCATTGTCATGTAAAGGTGATCTTTGGTGTTCACATCAATGAAAGCCATTTTCATCTGGATAAGAATATGGAAAGACGTATAAGAATTTATAAAATAAAAGTGGATGGCTGCTTTCTCTGGGGTGGTTTGCTCCTTCTTTCCTCCAACATCTGTCCTCCTTTTCTCTCCTCCTTCTTTCCTCCAACATCTGTCCTCCTTTTCTCTCCTCCTTCTTTCCCCCAACATCTGTCCTCCTTTTCTCTCCTTCCTCTTTCCTCCAACATCTGTCCTCCTTTTCTCTCCTCCTTCTTTCCTCCAACGCCTGTCCTCCTTTTCTCTCCTTCCTCTTGTCTTTGCGCATCTTACTCTCCAGTGACACCTCCAGTTTCCAGCATCTACATCAAGTAGAACCTATTGGTGTTACAAGTGCTGGAAAACTCTCTCTAAAAGTAGCTAAAAACTGGCAACTGGGACGCTAGAATTAATGTGAACATTATGATAAAATGTAGGAGATTCACTCTGGCAGTATCGGGACTCTGGCAGTATCGTGATAGGTCGTGTCTATGCTCTCCATTGCCCTGTGATGACAATCACTGCGCAAATATGACTGGTCAGCTCGGCCCAAAGTCTCCGACTTTTGTGACAAAGTTGTCGAGACATTGGTGCGTGCAGGTCAGCGTGAATTGTACAGATTCTGAGGGTTATTGAGGAATTGTACGTCTTTATTTGATGATGTGGCTGGTTGGCGGGTGCTCTGGTGTGGTTTGCTTCTTCTTTCCTATCAAACGTCTATCGTCCTTCTCTCCCCTTCTTCTTTTTTATGTTTGTTACTCTGTTGTAACACCTCTAATCTTCTGGCGCTCATTGACCTATGCAGGTGCGAACGCCGTAAAACCTCTACTAAAACTAAACTTAAAAAGTGTATTTTCTTTCTTTTTTCTTTTTTTTTGAAAAGCTACCCACTTGCCTAGCCTGGGCTTGTGGAGGCTCCTAAAACTATTGAGCTAAGTGTGCTGTAAGTGTTGATTAGACAAACATCTTTTGTAGATGGAAACTTGAATGTCGATAATGACAGGTGCATTTTAGCTGAGGGTATTGGAAGATGAGGAGAAACTAGAACTGATTATTTGTCACTCAGTGCAGTGGGGGGGGGGGGGGATTTGTGAGTAGAAATGGTAATGGGGTGAAATTTGGGAAAAGTGGAAAGATTCAGATCAAGAATTGAAGAATGTAAAGGGGGATAGGCGAGACGGGTGTGGGGGTTGTTGTGAGAATGGAACATTGGGGCAGGGGGTGGGGTGGGTAGTGTTCGTTAAAGATATCAAAACCCACTGAGGCAAAATGAATGTGAGAATATAGGGGAAAGGTCTTGTGTGTGTGGATGGGGAGGGTGAGTGAGTGAGTGGGTGGGTGGGTGAGAGAGAGATAGAGAGAGAGAGGAGACAGAGAGAGAGAGAGAGAGGAGACAGGGAGAGAGAGA